TTTAAAACGAAGAATATGGTATGATTAATATAGTTTGCATAATAATTCTATTTTTAGATATTTTTATCTTCTTGATTCTCAATTTGTAATTTTTACTTTTAAGTTATTTAACTAGTTGTAAACACGATTTATACACTTATTTATAACTCTCATGTACTATTATTTAATCACACTGAAACTACTTTTTTAATCTAAACGACTCATATTATTTTTTTTTCACATTGATGAGACTTTTTATGTTAAACAATTTCATGTCTATTTTTATTTTGTTGTCATTTGTTGTAAATTCTTATAATTTGACGGATTTAATTCTACTTCACATTTGTGTTAAATATCACCTTAATCGTAAACTCCACTGAAATAAAATATTACATAATTTGTTTTATTATTTAAATAACTAAAAATTAATATATCTCTCGATATATATAATTTCTATATCTCTCATACAACTTTATATATGTATATATAACTAAGTTGTCTCCAAAAATTGTAAAATAATATTTTTGCTTCCAACTAACGTGGGTGCTCTTGCTTCCAATTTTACTGTTCAGCTTGATCGCTCCGTACCATGTGGAGCATAGAGGCCTGAGTCTCATCAACTTGTCTTACTATGCAGCAGACTCGTGATAAAATCGACCTTCAAATAGGTTAGGCTTTTTGAGGCAGTTTATTAAACATATGTACATAATAATCTTACAATTAACTCGACTTTCCTTCAAATTAGTGTTTAACTGTATATCATAATTTAAAGATAGTCAAATTGCATTGGACTAAACGGTTAATGATTAATAAATAGTATTATATATTATTGGCAATTCAAGCTCATTTTCCTAATCTATATTCATAAACAAAAAATATCAATACTATGTAAACCAAAAAATTACAAGCGTAAATGAAATGTAAATTAAGTTCCACATAAAATAAGTTCATGCACTCGTTACTTTAAAGTTTTTGAGTTGTATTATTGTTATTTATTTGTGAGGCTTTCTATCGTAAAAACTCTGATTGCTGAGTACTGACAAATTATATATAAATATAAAGATAAAAATAAGATGATTTCAAATTACAATAAAAATTAAATGTCACAATAAATGAATAATTAAAATAAAAATTCAATGGGGGACCCAATTTAAAGCTTTAGTGGACAACATTATCTTAAAAGGAATTTTCAGTGGGTCTAATTTGCGAGGAGGAAAGAAAGAGATAAAGCTCAAGTGATCATCATCTCTGCAAATATGGAAAGTGCATGAATACCGTAATGGTTGCATGACTCATAAGGTGCTTTATATGAGAAGTCGACAGAACGTGCACTAATGGTGTCAATGTAAAAAAGAACAAGAAAGTGTTAATGCATAGGTGGACTGTTATGAACCATGAATTCTCCAAATTTGTGGCAATTTAACTTTCAATCATGGGCGGCAAGATTATCCACAAGTGGACACGCCGGACCCTTTTTCTTAACTCGTTTTAACTCATATTTGTCATGAAAATTATTTTCTAAGACAAATTAATTTAGAATATATTATTTTCGGGTTTCAAAATTTAAAATTATTTATTATCAAATTTAAAATTTTCAAAATTTATTTAACCAATAATTTATCTTTAATTTACTCTATAGCTTGTTTAATCACATTTGTTCGTAAAAACTTAGTTTTGAATTAGTAAGTATGTGTAAATAAATTATTAATTAAATATGTTTTATAAGTAAATTTGAAAGATTGGTGTAGCGGTATAAGATTTCATTGCGTTTATATACCAATATTTAGGTTAGCATTAACCACGAGTTGCAAGTGGAGATGAATTTTTTTAAACTTTAAAGAAATTTCATGGTCTTTTACTTTAGATTAAAAAAAAAAGTGTCCAAAAGTAAATTAAAGAAAATAATATGTCCAATATTTTTATAACATAAAATTAATTTTTCTGAAATTATTATTAATTAACCTATACTTAAAGGTTAAAATATATATTTTCCTTCAAAATATGTATTTTTTAATTTTATTTAATACATTTATTTTTTTCTTCATTTTAATTGCTATGTATTTTTTGTGCTGATATTCTTGTAAAAGAGGGTGCTCAACAAGCTCAGAAACTGGTTATCTTAGAAGTATCTCTTCCAAATCTCTCTATTATTCTTGCAGCAGATAGCTCTGGTATTTTGTTTGTTCGTCCTTAACTTTTTCTTAATTTTTCCTTGTAAAAAACAAAAAGAATTGCTATGTGTTCTTTTAAATTGTTGATTTTGATCTGATTTATTGGCTCAGATATTATTTTTCTGTGATTTTTTTTTATGAAAAGGGTGATGACAGAATATAACAAATATTGATCTGAATTATATTGTTAAATTTATACAATAAAGTATTAAAGATTCTGTCTTGAGTTCTTTAAACTCTAAAGGCAATTCCAATCCCCCTCTCCCTAAAAGATAAAATAAAGAAATAAGGGAACATACATGCATGTCAACAGTTCCTTTCTGATTATGGGGCCAACTATCGAACTATCACTCTACTGTTTTATCTCTTGCTTCCTATTATTAGATCATTGACATTACCTTAGCAAATTAATAATTATAATTATTATTGACCATAATTACAAATACAATTGGACTCGATCGAGATGTATCCAAAATATTTTAATGAGGCGGCTTGAATTTTACATATAAAATTTTGATCAAACGTAGTTGCATGTAATTTTATTATGCACGTGTACAGTAAGATTATCCATCAGATAATCAATATAAGCACTGTTCTCACCCATTTCCTGCTTATATAGAGTTTCCATTCCATTGCCCAACCACAGAGAACAAATACTAATAATATATTATTTTAAACACACTCTTTAATTCACTTATTATATATATTTAGGTAATCTTTTAAAAGTCAAAATAAAATTTCCTTAATTGACCACTTTAATAAAATATGTTTAAGAAATTGCATTATTAACCCTCCTCTCCAAGCAAATTGTGTAATATATACATTACATTGCTTTACCACGAGAGAAGCTTCACCAGTGTCAAATAATTTCTTTTTTTAAAAAATATTCAATTGATTGTTCTATAAACTTTTTCAATTATGATGGAGGTATTAATCTTATAGAATGTGATACATGCATTAAGTAAAAATAAAAAGTAAGAAATTAAAAGAATATATATTAAATTTTAATTTGTTAAGTTGTTGAGTTTTAGGTAGATAGCCTTGCAAAGTACAATGAGTAGATATTATAACGTAACTTTAAAACCTTAAGATAATAATTACATAAGTTCATCTTTTTTATAAACTTCTAACTTACTCATATTTCATTTCATGTAAAATTCAATTCACACTTAATTTTAACATAATTATTTAAATAAAGTTAGAATTGCTGATTATTAGAACCTTTGTTGGAGCATTTCATGCCCTCTATGACCTAAATAATGAATTTGAGGATAGGACAAGAAGATGCATAAATAGGATATCCAACAAGTAATACCAATTCTATTTTGTTTTGTAACATTCCTCTATTGTGCAAGTGCCTAATGTATCAGAAACATTAATGAGAGTGAACATGCATGTACCATTTTTAAGCTATTCAATAATGCTCCGTGACTTTTTTGGTAGACATGGTCTCTCCTTGCTAGGAAATGTAAGTGAGATTATGCTCAGACATAAAACACGTTATCAGTGCAAACTTGTACTAACGTCTAAAGTGAGAATGCTATGAGATTTGAGAAGTGCAATTCATATCATGAGCTTCTTCTTAAATATCACTTTCAGATGCTAAGAACATTGACACTGAAATGATATACAGAATGTCAAAAGGTTGCACCATACTTCTAAGCCTTTTTGTGCTTAACTTTTTGAAAAAAATTAAAGTTTTAAATAATAAATTATTTATGTTTTAAAAATAATTATATAAATATTAAAAGACAAAAATTTTCATATTAGTATAAGTATAAAAACTCTTATAATCGATTTGAATATTTTATTTTATTTATATCTAATATATTATAATTTATTATTTCACTTATTATTAGATATAAATTAAATAAAATATTTAAATTGAGTAAAAAATTTTAAACTTATATAGTGTGTGAGAAGATTATTTTTTAAATATTAATGTATTTAGAAGAGTGTATTAATAATGATATAAAGCAAGATTGGAAATTGGCAGCTACATGGCGTGTTTAATTTGGTCAAATCTTCAAGAGTAGAAATCCGCCCACCAAGTGGGTCCAACCTACGTCAAAGTGGTAAGACAATTCAACAACGGAACCATGAGAAACACACAAGCTGTGATTTGTACAGGTTAAAAAATGTAAGGCCCAACAAAGCAGAAAATTAAAATATGAAAATTTGTCAACGTCAACTTTTAACGTTATTTGTTAAATATTTTTAAAAATATATTTTCCTAAAAAATAAATATTTATAATTTAGAAGTTTAATAATATTTTTAATAAAAATTATTTTTATTTATTTAAAATCAAACTTGAAATTTAATGTCAACAAAACTATTAAAATATAATCACGTAAACATTATTAGTAGTATTTAGTCTGCACCTAAAGGTCTACAAATATTATTTTTATATTTATAATCAAACTGAAAAATTAATGTTAACAAAACTATTAATATATAATCATGTCAAAGTAAATAAATAATTTGGTGTAAACAAAATTCTACATATATAAAAATACAGATTTATTATTCAAAAAATATAAGAATATGATAAGTTTTTCAATAATTTTTTAGCAATTTTAATTAAACTTAAAAATTGATGTTAACAAAACTGTTAAAATATAATCATATAAAATATATATGTATAAATTGATTTTACTAAAATCCTAAATTATAAAAGAATAACTATTTATTATTTATAAAATTAAAAACATAATAAATATTTTTACTAAAAAATGATTATATATATATATAATCAAAATTAAAAATTGATGATAACAAAACTTAAAGTATAATTATTAGTTTAGTCTTTACCTAAAAGTCTATAAATACCATCCTACAAAATTATAATCAGCATAGATAGGCATCCTGCAATACTGAGAGAAAAAGAGTGAAAGTATTGAGAAATGGAGAACTTCCCAGTGATCAACTTGGAAAAGATGAATGGTGAGGAGAGAAAAGCAACTATGGAGAGAATCAAGGATGCTTGTGAAAACTGGGGATTCTTTGAGGTACCCAAAAAAGCTTTTCTATTTCTTTCTTTATGACTTATTACTGTGCATTCTTTTGGTGAACATGTGTGTCTCTTGTTTCAAAACTGTAGCTTGTGAATCATGGCATACCCTGTGACCTATTGGACACTGTGGAGAGGTTGACCAAAGAGCACTACAAGAAAAGCATGGAACAAAGGTTCAAGGACTTGGTGGCAAGCAAAGGGCTTGAGGGTGTCCAAACTGAGGTCAAAGACATGGACTGGGAGAGTACCTTCCATTTGCGTCACCTTCCTGAGTCAAACATTTCAGAGATCCCTGATCTCAGTGATGAGTACAGGTTACACAAATCAAATGTCTACAATATCTATCTATATACACTGCATAACCTATTATGATTGTTACAGAAAAATATACCAAAACTTTGATACCTAATTATACTCCATAAACAGTTCAAAGTGTAACAGAATAATAATCGATTTTAGCTGGAGTTGACAACACAGAAACAGAGGGTCCCATATACATGATTTAAACATTTCTCCATGCAGATTTTGCTCCATGTATTTCCATTAGAGTATTATGAGCAGTTCACAATTAAGAGAACAGTTATGTCTTTCACTTCTCCAAAATACTAAATTACTTGAACCAATGATGTAGGAAGGGGATGAAAGAATTTGCTTTGATGCTAGAGAAACTAGCAGAGGAACTGCTGGACTTGTTATGTGAGAATCTTGGACTAGAAAAGGGATACCTTAAAAAGGCCTTCTATGGATCCAAGGGACCAACTTTTGGCACAAAGGTTGCTAACTACCCTCCATGCCCAAAGCCAGACCTTGTGAAGGGTCTTCGCGCCCACACCGATGCTGGTGGCATTATCCTTCTTTTCCAAGATGATAAGGTCAGTGGCCTTCAGATGCTCAAAGATGGTAAGTGGATAGATGTGCCTCCTATGCGCCATTCCATTGTTATCAACCTTGGTGACCAACTTGAGGTAAGTTTGCTAACTCATGCTTCAGTTTCCATAATTTAAAGTTAAGATTAATCTTATCTTTTTTCCATGTTAAAATCAACTTGTGTATGTTAAAAAGTTGAAAGATAAAACTTCTGAAAAAATAGTTAGAAGTTTATCTGAATTGGACTTAAAACAAGAACATGTTAAATACAAAATCATGATTCTTACTTATTAAGGACCATTTGGTAAAACAGGTAATCACCAATGGCAAGTACAAGAGTGTGGAGCATCGTGTGATAGCACAAACTGATGGGACCAGAATGTCCATAGCCTCGTTCTACAACCCTGGCAGTGATGCTGTTATCTACCCAGCACCAGCATTGGTAGATCAGAATAACGAGGTGTACCCAAAATTTGTGTTTGAGGACTACATGAAGCTCTATGCTGGATTAAAGTTCCAAGCTAAGGAGCCAAGATTTGAAGCCTTCAAAGCATCAGATGTCAACCTGCAGGGTCCCATTGCAACCGCTTAAACCTGTTTCACTATAACTACAACGTTGTTTATTTAGAGAAAAGCAAAGTTAAGAAACGTTTCTCAAACGAGTATATAATAATTTACTACGGTGAGTGAAGTTATCATAAAAAAATAACAAAAAAATATCAATGTTTGATTATAAAATACTATTCAAGTAAAATAAATATTTATTGGTTGTTGTCTCTCTCTATCTCCTATCCTTTTCCCTTAATGGCTGGACACTTATTAAAATGTGGTTTGGACCACCGACTATTATAAGTAAGACATGTTCGTCTTTAAAGGATGTAGGGCTAACTTTATCAAATGCAATAACACCCAAATGGGAGAAATTCAACGCAAACACATATTTGAATAGGTGAGATATTGTATATATCTAATATCCTCTCATTTTTAAAACATTAAAAAATTATATTAACTAATCTAAATAAAATATAAAATACTCTTCTAAGTTCACAGGTATCACAGCAAGTACCTTTTAAAATTAGACTAAAAACGTTTTTGTTATTATTATTATTATTTTATATTTGCATATGTATATTAGTTAGCCTAATATAATTTTGTTCTAATGAAATGTAGATTTTCGTGTCAGTCAATATTCTTCTTTAAAATATAAAAGGCATAGGCATACTCGAGCAAAATAAAATCTAGACCTTTGGTTTGTTATATATCTTTATTTATTATTGGTCCTAACATGATTATTTAGTTACAGTAAATAAATTGGCAATCATTAGCTTTGTGATTCCTTAACGGGAGCAAAATATCGGGTTCATGAATCAGTAATTGGCTTAAGAGAAAAAAGATTGGGCCCATTCCATGATTAAAACAAATAATTCAGGCCAGTAGCCTAATGATTTTTTAAAAGTAAGAATTCATAGGTTATTTATTGGATTATTCCTTTATTGGATTATTCCTTTAAAATTTTAGAGATTGTTCAGTTTCAATATATATATATATATATGAGGCAGAATTCTTTTACAATAGTATAAATATAAAAATTCTTACACTCAATCTGAATCTTTCATTTAACGTAAATTTAATAGGTAGGGATAGGATCTTCTTATACTAGTGTAAGTCTAAAAAATTTTACACCCAATTTGAGCCTTTCATTTAACTTAAATTTAACGAGTTATAATTTATTATTTCACTAGCTATTAGATTTAAGTTAAATGAAAGGTTCAGATTGGATGTAAGAGTTTTTAAACTTATACTAGTGTAAGAAGATTCTTTCCTATATATATATATATATATAATTATTTTTTTTAAAATTATAAAAGTATCACTTGATTTTTATTTTATTTTAAAGATTTTTAAAGAAATTTTTTTTTTATCAAGTGAATGACTTAATTTCAAAAAACAATAAAGCTATTAATTTGATTTTTTTTTTTTGGGAAAAATCAGACATTCAGAGATGGGTTTTTCTAAAAAATAAAATTTGAGTCAATGGCTTGGTTGATTTCTAAAAATTGAGTCATTCACTTGTTAAATTTCTTTTTTAAAACAAAATTTTAAATTGACTTTTCATAAACAGGACATTTACTTGATAATATTTTAAAAACAAATCCTTGACTCGATGACTTCCTTTAAATATTTTATGTTTTTAGCCTACACTTGAAGTAAGTGTTGTTACATTTTATGTTTTTTTTATTAACAGACGATTCAAGTAAGAAATATTTCCTTCAATTCTCTAACTATTTTTCTTATCAACCCTCTTCCAACTTTCTACTCTCTAATGTTTATGAATAAGGAAATAAAACTTAGATCTTATATTTCAAGGATTAATTATGAGTAAGGATAGTTAATCATGTTAGTGCAAATAATAGCTAACTACACAAAGAAGGAAAGATTTATGGTATGTGTGATTGAATAAAGTATGAAATGGGAAGAAATGAAATAAGAGAGAAGAAAATAGGAGATATGAAAATGGGGAAGAAAAAAGTAGGAAATCATATGATTTGGATGATGTGAATACTAATTTTTGTCTACCAAAAAAGATTATTCTCAATTTTTTTATTTTTTTAAAAAAATCTTAACAAGAAAAATAAAAATATTAAAAAATCAACTTTGCTCATAGAAATGAAAATTTTACGCATCAAGTAAGCTTCAACTTAGAACAAAGAACCAACTTTTAGCATGAATAAAGAAAAAAAAAACTCATAAATTTGTATATAGAGAAAATAAGGATCCAAAGAGGGCAGCAACAAAATTTTTAGATGAGAAAAAAAAATTTCAAGAGAAAAAGAGAGTTTTGAAAAACTTGAGACAAAAAAATAGAAAAAAACACAAAAAATTCTAAAAAAAAAATAAACGAAAGAGTGTGTAATAAAAGGATAGAAAAAAAAAAGAGACAGAAAAAATTAGAAACCAAAAGAGAAAAAAGAAAAAATGCATAACTATTTTAATACTCCTTTTGTATTTTTAATATGAAACTTGCCATTATCTACGACTAAATGTCTGAATAGGATAATGAATGATATGAAAGAAAAGGTAACGAAGAGTCGTATCTTATAGCAAATGTGGGAGAAGAAAGAAAGTTCTCAATTTTGTTATTTTATTAATATTTGAAATGAAAAGAGGACAGCTAAAGGTTCAGATTGCGGCATGCTACCTCTGCAAAAGAGTTAAATCAATTCCGTCAATTTTGTTGATCTTTTTCTTTTCTTTTTTTAAAGTTTAATTTTTTTTTTTATCTTCTTAGGCCATTTGGTGGCCCAAATCACACTATACAATAATAATAATGAAAGATGATTAATTTTTTTTAAGCACTATATAAATTTTTGTTCTTTCAATCATATTATATTTATTTTTATTATATTTTTCATGCTATTTCATTATTTACCTTCATTCATATTACTTGTTGTTTGACATTATTATCCTTTACTGTATTGTAAAATTCTAAGATATTAATGTAATTTACTTTTTAGGTTTAACTTTCTCTTATTTGATGGTTAATAAATTTTATTGCTAAATTAGTATTTTTATTGAATAAGTAAATAATAAGATATTTGTATTAATTTTATAACACTAACGTGTAGTCACTCTATCATTATATATCATAAATTGATAAAGTCTACATGTACCTATATTATCTAAGTTTTATAGGATAAATTTTTTTTATATTTTAACTTTAATTAATTAAATAAATATTTTTAATTATCAAAATATAATGATTTATATTTTTTCTTTAATTATTAAATTATTAATTGATTCATTAAATTAATCTAATATTTACTTTAATATAGTGATTTATAGCACTATTGTGAAGCATTTTTTCTTTTATGCAATTTAAATCATTAACATTTTTATGTACTAATATTACCTTAAGTCTCATGCAATACGAACTTATCAAATGACATTTTAATTTTTTTAATTAAATAATTATCTTCACTAATTAATTTAAGTATATGTAATTTTTTATATTTTATATTTTTATTTTTAAATATTCATCTTCTTATTAAATATAATTAATCCTATATTTATAAAATTAAATAAAGTGACATGTTAAATCCACATAAGAGTGTTAAGCTGGCTTTCCATCAGCCAGCCAGCTATTTAACAGGAAAAAGTTGACGGCAGAGATCAAATTTTAATTTCTTAACTTTTTAAAAACTAAATCTTAACCAAAAATTTTATAAGGATTTATCACAAAACACTCAATATTTATAAGGATCAAAAATATAATTAAACTATTTAAAAAATTATAATTAAAAATAAAAGTAGATCAGACTATTCAATAAACGTCAATGACCTAACCTATTTAAAGTTCAACTTGACCTAACTTGTTTAAGTAATAGGTTAAATTCAATCTTTTTAAGAGACTTAATTAATTAAAATTGATAAACTGAAACTTAAGAAAAAGTTTTGAAGCTTGATAGATTGGTATATTTAAGGCTCACTAATTTTATAATAATATATAAATATTTTTGTATATAAGTTATAATATATTTATAATAATATATTAGATAAATTAAATTTTAAAATAAATAAAATCTTAAATTTTTTAATATATATATATATATATATATATATATATATTTGTACCAGCAACCCGTCCTCTTTTATATATTTTTAATTGTTTTGTTTAAAAATATTTTAATTTTGATTAATATTTTTAAAATTTAATTTACTTTTTAGTTTCTCTTTTTTAATTCATATGCAATGTTAACTCAAATAGTTTAAATTATTCATATTTGATTATCATAAATTTTAATTATTTAAATTAAGTTTATCATTCTAAAATTTTATTTAAAATTAATCAAAATATAATATATCACTATTATATATATTATTTAAATGAAAGTAATAATGAATTTTGTTGTATTTAATATATTTATTTTGATTTGATTATTTTGTACATTTTTCTCTTACTAATTTATATAAATAAACTGTATTTTGAATTTTTGTTAATTATTTATGTGTAAATAAAACATGTATATTCAAAACATGCAAAGTAATTAATGATTGTAATTTTATATTTCATTATTTATCTTAAGCTAATATATTTTGATTGCTGTTGTCTATATTTTATTGTATTTGGGCATTAGATTATCCGACATAAGCCCAAATCGAATAACCACTAAAGCCCAATATAAGAAACCGAAACAAAAGCTAAGAACAATAAAAAAATTATAGGTGATTACTTTTTGCAACTTTTTTTTTTTCTTATTTACAACCTTTTATTTTTTTATAGTTTTTATTTCTATAATATCTTTATATTTAACATTAACATCCTGCTCACTCGTTTTCGTGGGAAACAATGCACACTGCTCATGAAAACAAAAAGTAGATGCGCATGATCCAAAAAATATGATGATCCAAATATTGATAACATGTCATTTCAATTTGCGCGAAATTTGCTGTTTACAGATTTCATACCTAGACACGTTTATAAATGCCACAAAGAAAGAAACGATATGTCTTATTAATCGGCCATTAAGATTACCATAATCGGTGAACGATAAAGGTAGGAATGATAATAGGTAAGGTACTATAATACACATTTCTATACTCGCATTTTAAAAAGGTACTTGTATATGAACATCAATCCTCATATCTGTATCTTCTGAGTACCTGCATACTCATCTTGTACCCATTACCCATGCTTGTTTAAGAAAAAAAAATATGTTTATATAAATTCACATAAATAGTGTAATAATATAAAAATTTAATATGTAATTGCCGAAT